CAGCCTGCCCTTGAACTCACAGCGATCCTCCTGCTTCAGCCTCCTGAGTGCTGGGATTACAGGTGTCTGGCACTGTGCCCAGCAAGACCCTATTTTAAAAGAAAGATGGTTGCCTGTTCCTTCAGACGGAGCTCAGCTGTGTCACTGTGGCTCTCATCCTCTCCCCAACGGACCTGTGGGAAGCAGAAGTGACCCTTTGTCTCAGTGTACCCCATTCTCTGTCATATCTGATTGTCATCTTCCAGGAGTGTACCTGGGTGCTCTTGAGCTGGGCACAGAGTGGTGCTGGGGAGGAAGGACAGCAGGTTTTGGTTCCTGGTCTCAGGGACCTCCTTGTCCTGACCTCCCTGTCCTTGTCCATTTCCAAACTCCAGTTCACAGATAAAATCAGTGACGTGACCTGCAGTCAGCAATGACAAACAGAAACAGGATGGGACAGGTCAGTTTCCAAATGCAGCCACCGCTGTGGGGCGCATCCCTGATGTGAGGATGTGGACACCCAAATGTCTGGGTAGCTGGTCTCACTGGGAAACATGTTGCTCATGTAGAGTCTTGGTCAAAAGTGTTTCCAAGTTTGGGGTGTGGTTTAGTGGTATAGAGAGTTGTTGGTACTCGAGGCCCTGGATTCAATCCCCAGCACCAGCACCATCAAAAAAGAAAAAGAAAAAGAAACAAAAATAAAAAACTCTACAGTTGTCTTTTTATTAACAATTGGAGTGGGCATGGTGGTTCACACTTGTAATCTTAGTGCTCAGGAGGCTGAGGCAGGAAGATTGCCATGGGTACAAGGCTATCCTGAATTACAGTGAGACTTCCATCACAAGATAAAACAAAACAAAACAAAACAAAACAAAACAAGGATGAAGATTTAACTTGGAGCTTTTTCACTGAGCTAGATCCCTAGCCTTTTTTTTTTTTTTTTATTATCGGTACCGAGGATCGAACTCACGACTGCCTGCTTGCAAGGCAGGTGCTTATGCCGCTGAGCCAAATCCCCAGCCCCGATCCCTAGCCTTTTAATTTTTTTTTTTAAATTTTGAGACAGTTTTCACTAAATTGCTAAATTGTCCAGGTTGTATTGTGAGACAGGGTTTTACTAAGTTGCTACATTGTTCAGACTGGTCTCAAATTTATAATCTTCCTGCCTCAGTCTCCCAGAGTGTTGGGACTACAGTCTTGCACCACTGTGCTTGACTCCAAAGCTTGAAGGCTGAGGCGAACCTAGGGAGTGGGAGCTATGATCTAAGGACTTAGATCCAAAATAGTACCCAAACAGTACTATTACTAATCCTGCTGATAACAGAGATTCAAAATAGTACCTGAGCAGTGCCGTTACTAATCTTGCTGAAACAGTGGTATCCATTACTGCATACACTGGGCAGGGATGTTCTAATCCCAGACCCTGCTAGGGAAGTGAGGGGCAGAGTCCAGTGCTGACTCCATGGTCAGGGAGAGAGGAGTCCAGGGAAGGCTGCCTTCAGGAGGGAGCCCTGGACTCAGCCTCAAGAAACCCCTCTCCCCTGGCAGGCTCACAGCTGGTCCCAGAGCAAGCTGTGGTGGCAAAGGAAGTAATGACAGTGACAGCTGCCATCAGTAAGCTCCAGCTGAGTGCCAGGCACCCCTTCAATCCTCCAGGGATTCTCAGGAAGCAAGACCTGTGCTCTAGGCCATTTCAGAGCTGTGGAGAGGGAAAGGAAGATGGTAACCTATAGGACTAGGGTCAGGCAGCGAGAAAGCTGCTGAGGCCAGACACGCCTGGATCCTGGATCCACCAGCTGAGCCTCCTTCTCAGGCCAGTCCTCCTACAAGGAAAGGGGTCTGAGTAAACTCTGGGGCTGGATCCTGAAGCTGGGATGCTGGCCAGAAAGGAAAGATGGCTAGGGCAGATGAGGGATCCAGGGGTCCATCTGAGTGGGGACCCATGGCAGGCATGAGTTACAGAGGCTCAGAGACCACCAGCTTGGAGAGAACCTGCAGACCTCAAGACATTTGGCAGTGGCATGGTCACAAGGTGTGAAGCCAACTGGCTCCTGTTCCAGCTTCACCAGTAACTTGGGCCCTGTGTTCCCATCTTGTAGTGGGCTTGGTGGGGAGTGGGGACCCAAGGAGAACAGCAGGACCATTTCTGGTCTTGGGTCAAGTCTCATCTTTGCTGGTTTGAACCCAGATCTTCTGTCCTCTGGCAAGTCCCTGGTGCCTGCAAGAAACAGCTTAGGTAGTGTATTCCCACGCAGGAATCTGGGGTCTCCACAGCTGGCATTTCTGCCAAAGGACTGAACTTGGAACTCTTGCTTGGGCCAAGGGGCTGTGGTTGGCCCCAGACCATGCTCTTGGGTGTGTGAGCACTAGGGTTAATCACTATTCTCTGCCACTGGTCCCATCCACACACTTTCTTTTCTCCTTTTTTTTTTTTTTTTTTTCATTTTTATTGGTACCGGGGATGGAACTCACGACCGCCTGCTTGCAAAGCAGGTGCTTATGCTACTGAGCTAAATCCCCAGCCCCCACACTTTCTAATTTATTTTTCCACATGGACTCCACTGGCCTCTTGCACACACATACAGTCCTTCGTACACATTCTTGCACACAGCTACACACGCCCACAACACAAGGGGACCCCTAGCCTCCTTCAGGTGATCAGTAGCATCTGGGCGCTTGTATGTGTGGGATGTGGACGGTGGGAATGCTTGCAGTGGGAGCTGGGGTGGGTCCTGAGCCCTTTGCTTTCTGGGGTCCTGTTCTGGACCCATGGAACCCTTTTCAGGATATTTCGAGCTGTAATCTGAGCTTCCCAATCCTTAGGAACTTCCTAGGTAGCTTGAGAAGCTCAGATTGGCTCCCACTCCACTGACCCTCACTTTCTGTCTGGAGCCAGGAGAGAAGACAGCAGCTGGCCCTCGATAACCCAGCAGCTCTGTGGGCTTCTCTTCCTGCACAATCAGCAGCTCCTCCATAGCCCCAGGTTCGTGACTGGTTTTGAAGACTTTCTGGCAGCTGCAGGGACTGTCCCTGGCTCCCAACTCCATGGTCTGGGGTGTAGGACTTGCTGTTCTGAGCAGAGTAGAGACTTGGGAGACCTGCTGGGGTCTGAGGATGCCGGTGAGGCTGGACATGTAGTTTGGATGCAGCCTGTGGCCTGTCCCTGAGATACTTCCAAGCCCCTAGTCCCCAGTCCCTCTGAGACCTATTAGCTGAACCTCAGACCTATTAGCTGAACCTCCTGCTCCGGCTGGCCTTTCCTTCTGGGTTCAACCAGAATGCCTGCTGTGTGCTGATGAATGGAAACACACGAATGGGGCCCATCAGGCTTGTGCTCAGATGGAAGACCAGGTCAGATCTGGTTCTATTCTCCAGGAGCTCAGTGTCAAACAGATTCTGGGCAGAGGGGTGGTGACAAGGGGGTCCTGTGTTTGCACCTGTATGTCCAGGTATGCACACTACGTTTGTGTATGGTGTAGGTCCATTGTGTGCTTACACATGCATGTGTGAAGACAAGAGAATATGTGTGTGAGCCTCACGTCCTCAGGCCAAGGAGCACCAGCCAGGCAGTTTGATGGGTGAGATACCCGGGTGTGGCGAGAAGAGGAAGGAAGTCGCAGCACAGTGGAGCCTTCCATCTGGGTCAGGTGCCCGACTACATTGTGGGTCAAACACCTCTGGAGGAAGATGGGGCGCCTGTCTCACAGAGGCGAACTTACAGCTCATACAGCCAATCTGAGCCTCGCTCTGCCGGTCACTGAAGGCTGGATCTGCTTTTCAAAGTTCCTCCCTGGCTTTCTCTGCTCTTCTCCCGCATTTGGGTGGGCAGGAGGAGCCCTGAGTTGTGGTCGAGTCTTCCCTGGACCTCCGGTTCCTTTTCTATTAATGGGGATGATGAACATACTCACCTCTTAAAATTAGCCGGGTGAAGCACTTGAGAGCTGCGTGCTCAGGACCGGTAAGACCTCCACTGATGGGTCCTCACTGGCCTTTGGTCATTCTTAGGGACTCCTACCCCTGCCCTTGGACCGAGGTGGGACCTGCTGGTCTCTGGAGTGCGGCAGGTAGTGACAGGTGAGCAAGAGGTTTCCCTGTGTGGAGTTAAGCGAGGGAGGAAGTGACTCACTCAGCTCAACAAAGCCCGTCTCCCCGGAGGAAGCGGCGGCGAGAGGCTTAACGCACGTGGGTGCCCGCGGAAGCGCGCGAGCTGTTGTGGGTTGAGGAGCGCCGACTGGCCTCGCTGGGTGCCAGCCAGAGTAGCACGGGGGACTGGGCAGCCCCCGGGGTACATCATGCCTTGGGAGCACCTGGTGTGTGTGGAGGGAGGGACCACTTCCCATTCAAAATTCCCGCAGTGCTGTCCCCCTTTCGCCTCTAGGCCGAGAGGCGCATTTTCCTGAGAGTCCAGCGCTTGGAGAAACCCACAATTGAGCGCATATTCTGCCCTTTAGGTGTTCGTCCTTAGGCTGCAGCCCAGAGAGGGCAATGGCTTAGTTCAGGTCGCACAGCATAGTGAGGCTGGCTCCAGAGCCTGGTTGTCTTCTTAGTCCTGCCAAGTCTCGGCCTGGCTTTCAAAAGCAGAGGGTGGAGGAAACCCCCAGCCTGCAGATCTCCCGGGGAGCTGGGGCCTACAGGGGGTGTGGCGCCGACAGCCTTTGCTTCTTTCTCCAGCCAGAGAGGCCGGCTGTCGGGCTTGGGCATCTTCCAGAACTAGCCGGGCTAAGACAAGGGAAGAGGAACTGGCTTCCCGGGCAGTGTCTCCCGCCCCAAAGTTTTCCTCTCCTCGGAGGGTGGCAGGCGGAGGGAGGAAGCTGGCCGACCTAGGTGGAGCCCGCCGCTCGGGCGCGCCAGGGATCGCGGTTCGTGGATGCCAATCTGACGCGGCCGGGTGAGTGTGTCTTTAAATCCGCGTCCCCCGCCATCCAGGCGGAGGGGCCGGGGCTCCCGCGGCCAGGCGCGGCGGGCGCGGTGATTGGCGGTCGGGCCGGGTCCGCCCTCGGCGTGGGGGACGCGGGCGCGGGGCGCAGGCGGCGCGCACTGGCCGGGGCGCGCACTGGTGCGGCGCGCGGCTCCCATCGCTCTCTTTCCTCTCTCGATCCGCCCGGCCTGGCCGCCTCCGGAGCTGCCTCCGCCCGCGGATGGGCTGGGGAAGTTGGCAGGGGCCAGGCGCACCCCCGCCGCCTACCTCGGTGCCCGCAGGTCGGGCGCAGGGCGCCGGCCGCCGGAGCGCGGATGTCCTCGGGAGCCGCGGGCTGGCAGGTACCGACGCGTCTTCGCCCGAATCCCGCCACGGGAGGCAGATCCGGGGGTGTTCCCCAGCTTGGGGCTGCTGTGAGGGAGGTCCTAGGCCCCCACCCAAACCCGCAGGGACTGGTGACTCTGAGACAGACGGGACCCCACACACGGAAGGGCAGGAAGTTACCGGGTCGTTTTCTATGTCGGGCTAGGGAACCCCTTGCCTCGAGGGTCCCTCGGTTGGGGTCGACATGGCTGGCGACACCCCTAGCTGTCTTTCTGGGCCTATGAACGCAACCAGTGAGCTGGGCTTCCTGCAGAGTTGGGGGGAGGAAAGCCATGGCGTGGAGACCCGGAGATGGGTCTCCAGGCTCATGTCTAAGGGTGCTTGAGGCCCCAGACCGAGGAAAAGCCCAGAGGTCCCGGTGCACCCAGGGTTTGATTTTTGGCCCCATCTGAGACTCCTGCTCTGTGGACCTGGATCTCCGAGGAGGGCTCAGTTTACTTTTTCAGAGGGTTTTCCTGGACGGGTAGTGAGTGGTCACTGAGAAACTCAGAGCGCCCTAACTCCTCACAGTGGTCACGATGGCTGAGCATAGGCTTGTCCTGAGGTCAAAGACAGTGAGAAAGCCTCCCTTCAGCCCAGGAAGCTTCACAGAGTCTCAGGTCCTACTCTGAGTCCAGGCAGGTGCTTCTTGGCTTGTCTTGAGTACCCAGAACCCAAACACCCAGCACCTGCCAGGTGCCAGGCTCTAGGCCATTCTGGGGAGGGCGTGGGTTTGGGGAGGGCTTGGAGGGCTTCGTCTTCACTTGGGACTACGCAGAAACACGCAGAAAGTTCTTTGTGATGGAGTTTCTATATTAGCGCTGTACTGCTGATAACTGCCTCGTGGGTGGTTGAGGCCTCCAGACATGTGAGAACTGAAGTCCAGTTCTCATGCAACAGTGTGCTCCAACATTCTGTCTGCAGACCCCTCGCCCACAGGCAGGGAGCAGCGGGAGGATGGGAAGGTCCTCCTGCCTATATATGTCTGACTCCCTCTTACAGACTTTTTTTTTTTTTTTTTTCTTGAGACAGGGTCTCGCTATGCAGTTCAGGCTGGTCATAAACTGTGTGGCCCAGGCTGGCCCCAAACTCTCAGTGGTCCTTCTGCCTCAACCTCCAGAGTGCTGGGGTTACAGGCATACACTATACCTGGCTTCCTCTTGCACGTTTTGTTTTGGTTTCCCAAAGACTATTTGGCTTCTATGGTCAGGCTAAGCACGAGACTCTCAAAACAGCCCTGGGACTCTTGAGGTTTAGGGTTTAGGGCCAGTGTTGTGGGAAGCTCAGAGGCAAGTGGGAGGAAGTCCTCACTTCCTTTCCGAAGAGCCTGCATCGCTGGGGGCTGGCGGTGAGGTTGGGAGGCTGGGAGACACTGGGCCAGACGTGGTTTCCTGTACATGCAGAGAGGCTGCGGGCGGTGATGTGCTGGGGTGGGTGGGCTGTGGCTGTGGGTAGCATTGGCCTCTGCTCCGTGGGCTCTGCTGGATCTGGTGCTCTGTCTCCCCTGTTGTTCCTGGCAGGTTTTCACTTTTCTGGAGCACTTTGTGGAGGTGGCACTGTGCTATGCCCATGGCCTTGGACCGTGTTCTGGGAGTGGGCGTTGCTGAGCTCACCCGTTGTCCTCGGCTGGCACTGTGGTGCCTTGGTGAGCACAGCCACCTACCTTAAACAGGTGGCACCCAAAGACGGTCACCCAGCACAGGGTGGGGGGACGCCCCTGTGAGCAGAGACCTGTGCGCATGCTCAGAGCTGTAGCTGTGTAGGCAGAGACAGGAACTGAGCACGTGTGTATGTGAGAGCAGGTGGGGAGACTGTGGGGTGGGCAGACAACCCCAGGACACGTGCAGGGACAGGCTTGTGTGACCATGTCCCTATGGACCATGAGTGAGCCACAAGATACACACGTAGACAGGCCTGTACTGTCGCTGGGATTTGAATCTCCCCAGCCAAGAGGTGGAAGTGTAAGTGGGCAGACATGCAGGGGCCCCACCAGGGCACAGACAGGGTTGTTCGTTGACGTTGCAGATGCAAGCCACACAGAAGTGGCTTCAGAACTGAGGCAGACGTGGAGTCAGCTGTGAGCACCTGCACCTTCCAGAGGCACCTGGCGGCACCTGGGGCCTGCGCTGTGGTCTGAGGCATTCAGTGCTCCCTGGGGCAGCATGGGGGAGGGACAGGTGCTCCGTGGTGTGGCTTCATTTCTAGCCTCCCACAGAGGGTCTGAGGACCCTGTAGGCTCTGTGTCTTGTTATTTGAATGTCTCTTGACTTTGATCTAGAAGATAGGGAACTTGCAGAAGTCTGAGAAGCTTTTGATTCTTATTTCCCCTGCCTCGCTGGGAGCCCCTGAAGTGAGGCTGTATGGCCCAGGGTGGTACACAGTTTGTCCCCTTCCTTCAGCATAAGGGGGGTTTTCTTCTTGAACCCAGGCCTGTGGGTCTCTGCAGGGCTGGGCTGACCCCTGGAGACATGCAGGTGAGTCTGTGATGGGAGCCACCATCCCTTGGTATGCACTTGTCTGGGCTTGGGTGGAGCAGGGACCCTTACTGTCTGGCTGTGGTCAGTCTCCTTTGCCCAGCCTGGCATCTGGGAGCCAGCGCACATTCCAGATTCAGTGTGACACTGACCTCCAGTGTCACAGTGGGTCAGTAACTCCAATTCCTGGGGAGGTTGAAGGGTACATGGAGAGAATCAGTGGGAAAGCCTGGGGATATAGGTCTGTGGCACAGGGCCTGCCTGGCAAGTGTGAGGTCCTGAGTTTGATTTCTGGTACCAGAGAAAAGAAAAGAAAATCAGTGGAAGACATGAAGTACCTGGCCAACACCCAGCCAGCACTGGCCAACATGGGGTGGGGGGCGCGGGGGCAGGTTCTGAGCAGGAGTCTTCCCTGCAGCCAGGACTATGCAAAGCTTCAGGCAGGTGGCCCGGGTGCCTAGGCAGAGGCCTGGGACAGGCTGGGCACCTCTCAGTGAAGGCTGGAGTTCTTTGTCTATGCACCCTGGCCACACCCGTCCCTTAGTCCCGGGGGACCTCCAGGCAGGGTCAGGAAGTGGCAGACTGGGTGTGTGGAAACCTGGGCCTGCTGCCTGCTGGGCCTCTGGGAGGGGAGCCAGTGGTTTGCTAAGAATAGCCCCGAATCGTGCCTCTGGCTTTCCAGCGGGCAGCCAGGCAGCTCCCTCTCAGGCCAGGGTGCTTGCAGATGGGCTTTTTGTTTTCTGTAGCTGGAACGGGTATGAGGTAGGCTTGGGACCTGCAGGCTCTGCTCCTTCCTAAGACTTTCCGGTGTGAGCCTGGCACAGAAGAGGCTGGTGAGCACTGGTCTTTGCAACCCCTGAGGACCTCTGCCATCTCGGGCTTCTCTTGATAGCTGTGCTCCGGACCATTTTCTTACCCCCAGGAGACCTGTCATGATTAAGAGGTTGGCTCCAGAAGCAAATCCTCCCCGTCCGAGTTCTTACCTGCTGGCTCACTAGCTGCCTGGCTCCGGGCATCACACTGGACCTCTCTGTGGTTAGATTTCCTTGCGTCCCTCCGGATGGTGCCAGGAACTCCCCTGTAAGTCTGTCTCAAGGACAGAGGAGGGAGTGCGTGAAGAGGCTCCTGGGATGTGCTTGGTACACATTAGGTGCTATGATTGGTGTTTTCTCGGCAGAGGAAAGATCGCTGGTACCAGGGTGCCATCCATATGGGAGGGAAGGACCAGGACAGCATCTTGATTTTGGGTTCTTGGCCCTGGGTTAGGCAGGAGGTGGGTTAGACTGTGGCCCTGCCAGGAGGTGGCCGAGGCTCGTACCTATGTTATGTCACCGTGGACGGGTGCCCACAGTGTGTGGGCAGAGCTGGAGGGAGGGAGCAGCTGGTCTGGGTGGGAGATGGGCCCTGAGATGAGAGACAAGGCCTCTCGACTTAGTGTATGCTGAGGAGGAAATGGGTCGCCTGATAAAGGGCTGCCAAGGCTCAGGCTTGGGGACACGCGGGGGAGAGTGGTGGGTATCCTGGATCGCCTGGGACCTTGGAACATCTGTGTTCCCTGGTTCTGCCTTTGTTCTGTCCTCCTGCCCTTCCCTGTGTGGATGCTTGGGCTTGTGGGGAGATCCAGTTTGGAGAGCACAGGGGGGACTCTTCCCCTTTTCCTTCTCCTTCTTGGACCTGGGGAACTTCCTGAAGGAGTTAACCCCTCTCCACTGAGCACTAGAAGCCATCCTGTGCTTCAAGCCTCCCCAGGACCCTGCAGGCAGGACCTGGCTGACCTCACCCAGCCTCGGACAGAGCAGTGCTTAGTTTTGCTGAGAAGGCTCCTGGGGTCAGGGCCCCCTGTAGGTGTGGCTCTGCTTGGCTCTCCCAGGCCTGTCAGGAAGCTCTGGTTTCCAGAGTTCCTTGAGGAGGCCCCTCCCTGGAGATCAGGCCCTGGCATTGCCAACCAAGCCTTTGCTTCTCCATGGGGCTGGAAACTGGGCCTGTGGTATTGGTGAACAACCTCTGGGCCGGCAGTTCACTGATCTCTCTGAACTCATTTTTCTCATCTGCAAAATGGGTGTAATTTCCCCATCTACCTTTAAAAAATTTCTTTTAAAACTGATGAAATTCATGTAACAAAATGAGCCATTACGAAGCTCACATTTCAGTGGGCAAGGAATCCCAGCACTCAGGAGACTGAGGCAGGAGGACTGCCATGAGTTCAAGGTCAGCTTGGGCTACCTTGTGAGTTTGGTCAGGTTCCAAAATACTGTTTTCTTTTGCAGTGCTGGGGAATGAACCTGTGGGTGCTCTACCCCTGAGATACACCTTGTGCTGTATTTATTTATTTGATTAATCTTATTTTGAGACAGGGTGACCTTGAATTTATAATCCTCCTGCCTCAGCCTCATAAGTAGCTGGAATCACAGATGTGCGCCACCATAAGCAGCTCCAAAATATTTTTTAACTTTTTTTAAAAATTTGTTTGAGACAGGATCTATTTATGCAATTTGGGCTGGCCT